TGTTGGGCATGGACATTGACTCACAATTCTCTGTATCATTCTCAATTGGATGGTTACTCGGTTCCATGTGCTATCTGCTTTGGCTTTGAATACTTGGACTTCAGTGTCATTTTGCATTCTGGATTTATGTGCTTCGTCCATACTCATGTTCCTTGCACTTTTCAAAAATTTCTTGAAATTCAAAAATAAATAATAATCAATTAATTCTTTTTCGCAATTCTTTTTCAAAATTCTCTTTCGAAATTCTCTTTCAAAATTCTTCTTTTATTATTCGGAAGTACTTTTCTTTTTGGAAGCGTTATTCTGAACTCCCCAATTAATTCCGAGAATTTTCGACTAAATGCGATCAATTCCCGACTGAATTAATCTCTTTAATCTAAATTAAGTCTATTTTTTTGGACATTCCTAAAACATCCGCTTTCAATTTTTTTTAAACAATACACTCTCGAATTAATTGTGAATAAATTCAAATTAATTTATTCAAAATTGATTCTTGTTTTGCAATTTTTTTTTTTTAATTACCTTCATTGTTAAATTACTTGAATAGGACAACCCCCCCCCCCTCTGGCGTGCCACGTTCAACCAGGAACTCTCAACGCACAGCGGCTGACATCGCCGCTGCTGCCACCTCATCCGCCGTGGCCACCACTTCCTCCCCCGCCATGGCCCAGTCATCCAGCATTGATACGTCCGACATCCGCACCGACTTCATCAACAGCATCGCCCGCAACCTCGTAGGCGAGCAAACACCAGCAACCGATGCCGCCATCGACCTCGCGGCACTTTTTCGCATGATGACATCCCTCCAATCATCCATTGACGACGTCAAAACATCCGTTTCCACCATCTCTGCTCGCATGACCTTCATTGAAAGTCGCATCCCCGCCATCCAGACCATCATCACCACGTCCCCCCCCCCCCCCCCCCCCCCCCCCCCCCCCCCCCCCCCCCCCCCCCCCCCCCCCCCCCCCCCCCCTCGGGTGCCACCACCCTTCCCCCATCCTCCGCCTTCACATCTACACCAATCACCCTATCCCCCATATGCACTGCCCTCTCCGACAGCACGTCATCCACACCCCCACCCGCATCTACCACTACCCCCACCATAGTCACCCAGCCGACAAAACCTGCCATCACACAGTCGTCGACCATTCCCCCCCAGTCAAAACCGATCTTGACTTCGTCCGTTATCATCTCCACCCTCCCCAACTGTACTTAAATTATTCGACAAACTGTGTATCCCGGCCTTCCACTACTCCCCCCCAATGCTCTCATCCCTACCAACCCCGCCAACGACTTCACCCCAGTTGACTCTTCCTCTCCCACCCTTGATTTCAACGCCCTTGCCGCCACTACCCCCAGAGAAGGCAAAATCCCTCCATCCTTCCGTGCCAACGAGATTCCCACCTTCTCAGGCCAACCCCATGAGGATGTCTTCCTCTTTCTCGCCAAACTTCAACAAACCTTCTCCCTCCACAACATCCTAGTCGTCCACTGGCTCCCCATCGCGGGCTGCAGACTCCTAGACAACACCGCTCGCTGGTGAAATACCGAAATGACCAACCGCCATCACGCCAATCTCCGACCTCACACCTTCCTTGAGTGGGCCACCCTCATCACCTCCACTTTCCGTCCACAGAAAACGGTCGACGACTACATCGACCAATTTTGTCCGCTCCAACAAAATGGCCCCACCGACCGTTTTGTGCAATACGTCTGCTCGCTTCGTCAACATATCCCCATCGATATCGTTAGCGACTTCGCATTCGTCTCCCACGTTAAGCGCGTATGCCGCAAAGACCTAGCGGTCGTCCTCATCCGCGAGCCACCCATAACCCTCGCCGACCTCCTCACTCGTGCCCTCCAAATTGACCGCATCTTCTCCCCCTACAAGACCACACTTACATTGGCCCCTCCCCGCCCTCGTTTTTTCCACAACATCACCTCCGAGGACATCTCCTCCACCACCTCCTCGAACGAGTTTTCCACCCCTGACCCCGACACCCTCTCCGATCCACTAGACACCACATCACTCTCCCCCGACGAACTCTCTACCATCCGCCTCATGCGGATGGAAAGGAGAGAACGCACCAGCCGTCCGCCCATAAACAACCCCCCAACCCGTCTCACAAAACTCACGCCCTAGGAGCGAACCTACCTCCAATCTAAGGGTGGTTATTTCCGGTGCCGACAACTAGGACATCAACAAACAAACTGTCCAAATGCCGAACAGTTCACTCGTCAAACACCCAGGTCCGCGGGCCCCAGACCCGCCACTTCCGCATCTGCCACTCCCGGTCTCTCCTCCACTTGAACACAGTCCCTAGGATCACCACGAACCTGCCCCAGCATCGACGACTAGTCTGTCGGCCATCCCATTGGTGACGATCTCCACCCCACAGGTGATCCATTTTGCATCGACAATACGTCTGCTCCCCCCTCTCTGGTGCCGCACATCCCACCGGACGTTTTCCGCAACCCTCCTTCCAAATCCATCCTCTGTCACTTTCTCTGATGTTGTTGAGGAACAAGCCCGACTTGATCGGCTTGTCCGGTTAGGCAATGAACAACGTCAACACCATTATCTCCACCGCCAACTCATCACGCTTTCACCTCAAATTCATCACCGCCACCCTTGGTGCGTCTACAACTAAGTTTCAGACCCTCCTCGACATTGGAGCCACTCGTAGCTCCATCACCGACGCGTGTGTCCAGAAAGCGGGTCTTACCTCTACCGGTTACGACTCCCCAATTACGATTCGTTTAGGGGACAAAGACACCGCCATCGTAGTAGACCGCACCGTTCCCGAGACCACCATGACCGTCGGAACCCTCCGCAGTCAGGTCTCATTCAGTGTCATGCACTTAATGTGCGACACTGTTTTGGGAACACCGTGGTTGGACCGCTCCATGCCATACTCGTTCCACCCCAACTTCATCGGCCTTACCAACCCCCCTGACACAACCATCGACATTCCCCATCTTCCCTATCCCCCCTCCCCAAACTCCGTCACCGCGCACCAATTCCTTCACATGGCTCGTACGTACCCCGACTCCACCTACTATTGCCTTGTCCTTGATCGCGAGCGTCCGGAGGACTTGCTCCCAACGGAGAAACCCGACCAAGCCCCCCCCTCCGACCCTGCCCTCACCTCCATCCTCGACGAGTTCAAGGACGTCTTCCCCAAGTCCTTACCTGTCGGATTACCTCCGGATCGTGGCGTATCCCACACTAACGATTTGGGGCCCAATCACTGTCCACCTTGCCACCCTCCGTACCAACTCTCCGCTCCGGAAGCCGAAGAAATGAGGCGGCAACTCAATGAACTCCTTGAAAAAGGATTCATTAAGCCAAGTTCATCCCCCTTCGGCACAAGCTGCCTTTTCGTAAAGAAAGGCGGAACATCGACACTCCGGATGTGCACAGAGTACCACCCCTTGAATGGGATCACGATCGGATCTCCGAGCCTCTTGATCACCTCCGTGGAGCCAAATATTTTACCAAAATTGACCTCTGTAGTGGTTTCCACAAGATCCCCATCCGCGAGCAAGACACCCATAAGACTGCATTCCGTTCCCGCTTTGAGCACTACGAGTTCCTCGTGATGCCCTTCGGACTCACCAACGCCCGCACCACATTCCAATCCACCATGAACCACATCTTCCGCGACTTCCTCGAAGCTTGTGTCATCGTTTACCTCGATGATATCCTTGTCTATAGCCCCACCTTGGAGTCCCACCTTAAGCATATCCGCCAACTCCTCTCTATCCTCGGAGAGCAAAAATTTTACGCCAAGCTCAACAAATGCACGTTTGCCGCTTCAAGCGTTGAATACCTTGGCCACATCGTCTCCGCTGAAGGTATACGCATGGACCCCTCGAAGGTCACCGCCCTCATCGAGTATCCACCACCCAAGACCCTACTCCAACTTCGCTCATTTCTCGGCCTTGCCAACTACTACCGCCCCTTTATCCGCAAATTCTTCGACATCTCGTAACCCCTCCACGTACTCACCCGCAAGGACGAACCCTTCACTTGGAACGACCGCCCCCAAAACGCCTTCGACTTCCTCAAACAAACCATCACCACGACCCCCGTCCTGAAAACTGCCGACCCCTCTCGACATTTCTACGTTACCACTGACGCATCCGAATTCGCCCTTGGAGCCGTCCTCTCACGACATCTCTGAAACCCCCTCCATCAAAGACTCCCCCACCCACCCCGAGGCTCCACTCGGCGAGTACCCATCACCTTCTCTAGCAAGAAGCTCCTTCCCGCATGAATGAACTACCCCTCCAACGAGAAGGAACTCCTCGCTGTGATCCACGCCCTCAAATTCTGGCGCCCGTACCTCGACGGGCAATACTTCACCATCCGCACGAACAACACCATCGTCTCCTCTATATCCTCACCAAGAAAGACATCACGCCGCGCCAGGCCCGTTGGTTAGACTTTCTTGCCCAATTCACATTCACCACTTGCCACACCCCCGACAAAAGCAACCGTGTTGCCGATGCCCTCTCTCGATGCCCCGACCACAAGCCCTTTGAGAAAGTCTACATCGCCATGACTCGTATCCAACTCCTTCCCTCCACCACCGCTACACCCAAGGCTACCTCTCTTGCCCGGATTTCTCAACAAGCTACCACAAACTTCGCGACCTCGACTCAGTCCTCGACTACTCCCTTCACGACCAACTTCTTTACATTGACACGAAAGAAACTCGCTGACTTTGCATCCCCGACGCACGTGGCCACCGTACCCAGCTCTGGAATAATAGCAAATTGTACTAGTGGACGAAAAGCCATTATGAATTCTCATTTTTTTTTACGAAGCTTTTGATGATTGATCTCTCAAAGCCAAAGCAATCGGTCGAGCATCACGACGCCAAGAGTGCGGGACACCTCGGGTTCCAAAAACCTTCGACGGCATCTTTTGTTACTTCTACTGGCCTTCCCTACTCGCCGACGCCAAAACCTACATTCACTCATGCCCCACATGTCAAGCTGTCAACCCCTCAAGCCGCGCCAAGCCCGACAAACTACAATCATTGCCTATCCCCACCCACCGGTGGCAGTCCATCGCCATGGACTTCGTCTGTGGTCTCCCCAAGACCGACTGCGGACATGATTGCATCTATGTCATTGTTTGTCGCCTGACTAAACGTGCCCACTTCATCCCTTGCACCACATCACACAACGCCAAGGACGTCGCCATTCTCTTCTTCGACCATGTTGCCCGCCATCATGGTCTCCCCGAGAACATCATCAGCGACCTTGATCCTCGCTTCGTTTAACAATTATGGAAACACCTATTTAAAGCCTACAAAACCACACTTAAGTATAGCACTATATTCCACCCACATACCGATGGACAAATCGAGAAGATGAACGATACTCTCCAAAGAATCATGAGGAAGTATTGTCATCCACATCAACACGACTGGGATCAATTGATCACCGCCGTTGAGATCGCCTACAACAATGTTGTATGTCCTTCTACCAGCACGACTCCATTCTACCTCGACCTTGGCTATCATACGCGCTTGCCCTCCGACTTCTTGCTTCCCTCGCAACTCCAACCGTCCACCCCCTGCCCTTCTCTCAATGAATGGGTAGCAACAATAAACAGAGAAGCTTTCGAAGCCCTTGAACGAACACAAGAACAACAAGCCAACAAGACTAACAAACACAGACGTGATGTGTCATTAAAAGAACACAAGAACAAGAAGTAAACAAGACTAACAAACACCGACGTGACTTGCAATGCAAAGTAGGGGACAAAGTCTGGCTCTCCGCCAAACGCTTTGAACCCGAACACAGCTTGTCCAAGAAACCCTCGAACAAGTGGCTCGGACCCTTCCCCGTTATTGAACAAACCTCCCCCGTCAACTACAAACTCCAACCTCCGCCTGACATGAGCCGCGTCCACCCCGTCTTCCACGTAGAATACCTAAAAGAATACAATGAATCCCCACCCCAATTCGCTGACCGCCCATACCCCAGACC